TATTCTGTTCTATTCTGTTCTATTCTATTCTATTCTATTCTATTCTGTTCTGTTCTGTTCTGTTCTGTTCTGTTCTGTTCTGTTCCGTTCCGCTCCGTTCTGCTCCGTTCTGTTCCTATTCGGATTCCTATTCCTATTTGATTCTATCCTATTGTCACTTCATTCCACATGTTCAATTTTGCAAAGAGGGAGGAAAGACGCCTCAATCGCAGGCTACTTTTTTTTCCTCACGCATGCTCCTGTCCAGAAAGAAATGTATTTGTAATACGATACTGCTGGCTCAAAATATGTTGCTGCTCGCACAGTCTAATGCTTCTCTCCCACCCCCCACTATCCCATCAATTCTGGAGAGCCAGCGTTCAAAAACAACAACTTCCTGCACCGTTTGAACACCCGCTACTTTCCGCATCAGCTCCTTTGAAAATATGCAGCTTGACTTTCTAGGTTACAAGGGACTGCATTGTGGAGACTGAACCGTGTCTTACTTAAAAGGAAGAGTGTAAATAGCTATAGAAAAATGGACTTCTTTGAAACCAGGGGACATTCTCTTAAACAGAGGCTTATCATTCTTGGGTCTCTGATTGGTTACTTATTCCGCAGTCTTGTCTCATGCTATTCATGTAATCTTCCAGAATATTTTTCTGGGAATCATATTCTTTCAGGTTGATCATTATCAGCAGTAATGCCAACCATCGAAACAGGCCATTGTTTTTGCTTCCTGTTTCGTTTGTCATTCTTGCCGTTCCCCCTTTTTAGAAAATACGATTCTCTCGTTTTAGTGTCAGCCATCCAGTCACTGGGAGTTGGGTAGCACACCAATTTACAATAGGTATGCATTGCTCCTAACATGATAGTATTTCCTCATATTTTACAGCATGCATGGGAAAGTTTATATTTCATGAATAGAATAGGATACCTTTATTGTCATTGCATTCAAAATACAATGAAATTTGAAAGCTAGTCCATCACAGTGCCCCAAACACCACACCACAATCACGCTACACAGTATTTAAAAATTAAAACAATTAAAGTAATAATAATAATAATTAAAAAACCTAGTCTAAAGCCTATTTAAAACTTATATTAAGTTAGGTAGTTTAAAAATGCCACTTTATACATAGAACTAAATCACAAATGTACTGTTTTGATTCAAGATAATTATTGCCTTAGAAAAGAAACTGTTTCTCCATCTATTATTCATGCTTTATGAATATAGGTAAAGGTAAAGTTTTCCACAGCCCAGTCATATTTGACTCTATGGATTGATGCTCATCTCAATTTCTTGGCCTATTATTCTCTTATTCTTTTTTGACTTTTATGGGATTATTCATCTGGACTCTGGGGAGTCTAGCCCAGAGATGGTATTCAGCAGGTTCTGACCACTTCTGGAGAGCAGAAATTTTGAGTAGTTAGGAGAACTGGCAAATACCACCTCTGACTGGCCCCATCTATTCTCTGCCTCCTGAGTCCCAAATGATTGGCTGGGTCTTCTTTGGTTGCCCTACACAGGAGAACGGAGCTGGAAAGCAGATTAGTTGGGTGAGGAAGGAATGGGATTTTGCAGTAACCTTCTCCCAGGAGTGGGTGAGGAATGGAGATTTTACAGTGTCCTTCCTCTGCCATGGACACCACACCACGCCACACCCACCGAGCCATGCCCACATAACTGGTAGTAAAAAAATTTGAATCCCACCACTGGTGTAGCCCTTAAACTGTGCAAACGTTCCTTCACAATGCCAGCTACTGATATTCCTGTCTGCATCTTACACCTTGCCACTATGTGTTCACCTGTCTCCAAGGCTATTTTGCACAGTTTGCACATCAGGACCTATCTAGTGCATTAGCCCTTTTTCTAGGTGACATTCTGGTAGTTGGACTTGGAATGGAAGCTTCACATCAGTAGCCAACATGTCCTCTTTTGGCCGCTTCACTATACCAGTGGAGTATCTGATGACTATCTGACTGCAGTTGATGGCCCAAAACTTTTGAAATTAAACTAATTTATGTAAACTGAAGATTGCATAGAGATTAGGTACAGTATGGAGTGGAATGTGTTTAGTGATATCCTCTGCTGGTTATGGATGGTTCATAAGACTGATTCAATTAGAAGTTGTTTGCTGTTGGTACCTTCTTCCACCTTTGGTGGACATGCCCAGAGGTTAAATTTTTTTTGGATAAGAACCAAAATATGCACAGAGGAAATTATCCAAATCGGATTGGAGTGGAAACCTAAATTATACCTCCTGGGGATAATTAAAGGGGAGTATCCTCCCAAAGTAAGATATTTGATTATTCATCTATTAACAGCAGCACGAATCTCACTGGTGCAATATTGGAAAAAATCTAATTTACCATCTATACATATTACTATTCAGAAAATTTATGAACATGCTAAAATGGAGAGGCTTACACTAAAAACTCAGAGGAAAAGATGATTCTGAATATTATTCGATTTAGGATAAATGGTACATCTGGATAGACCATATGAAAAAGAATGTATGAAATAAATGAACCTATGAACATATTACTACATATATATCGAATGATAGCAATCTATAAAACATTAGCTTTATCTCTCTTTCTCACCAAATAAGTTTTATGAAAGATTTATTTATAAAATAACAGTTATAATCCAACAATAATAATAGATTATTAGTTAATATTTATTAAATAGTATTTAGTTTATAAGGGATAAAGAATACCTGCCATTCGATATTTGTTATGAACTATTTAAACCACTATCAAATGTATTAGAAATATGATTTGTGCTGATGTCTATTGGGTTTTTTTTGTATGACTACTACTTTTTACTCTTGTACACTTGTATATTTTAATCCTTTGTACTAAATAAAGTATTTTTTAAAATAAAAAAAAGAGGTCGTTTGCTATCATACATAGGTCTTCCAGCTCTTTTATTGAAAATTCTGTTTATTCTTATATGGTTATTATTATGGTTTGATTTGGAACAATAGCAACAATAAGCTGTTTTCAGAATGCATTCCCTGTTAGAAAAGCAGCCAATGATTTCTTTATTTTGGACAAAGCTGAATAATTTCAAAGTAATTTCAGATTCTAGATTTAGTCTTACACTCGGCTGTTACAAAAAGGTGAAGTTGCATTGCTACATCCTCTGCGACCTAGAAAACAAATGATCTTTTGTTTGTGTTCTGGAAATCCTGCTATTCCACTGCTGCCTGGTGTTTATACTCTTTCCTGCCAATTCATTTAAAAAAAAAAACCTTAGTTGGAATTTCTAACTAGTTGGCATGTCTGAGTGAAAGTATTTTTCTGAAAGATCTGTTATTTAGAATTACATTACAAAAACCAAAACCAAACCAGATGATTCTTGTAGTCCTGCATTTTCAGCTTCTGAGCATATTCTGGAATCTCCCAAAGTGATTTAAAAATACTTTTCCTTCTGGTTTTTCTTTAGCTTTACTGAACGTTAACTTCATGTAAACCAGGAACTCACTGAATGAGCCAAAAGTGATGTGAACTGGATCTATTTTAGTTAATGAACAGATGATTGAGCACCAGCCCTGAAATACAATCTTTGAG